AACATTCCTGTCGCTGGCCGGCGGCAATGCCGGGAGGCGGCCCAGTGGCGTCCCGGGACGCTGTATCGTCCCGCACCGCTCCCCACACCGGCTTGGGAGCGGCGCGGCCCACTGGCCCAGTCCGCTGTCCTTTGAGGAGCGCGTCAGTGAATCACACCCGCACGGTCCGGCCCCACCAGGTGCCGGGGGACGCGCTCGGACTCCGCTGGGCTCGCCGCCTTCCAACGCTCGCTCCGCTCAGCTGCACCTTGGCATATCGAACGGTTTGGATCCTATCCATCGATGACGTCATAGTGCAGGGCGCCAGAGGCGCTGTCGGCGGCCCGGTCCCGGGGAGAACCACGCAACAAACACCCGCCAAAGGTCGGATCGGCCGGACCGCCCAAATGTCGGCGCTGCAGATCTGCAAATAGTGTCAGGGTAATGTGAGCCACTTGGGGCCGGTGGGTAAAATACAGCACTAAAGAGGCACATGAACTTACGCATGGTTTAGGTATACCGCATGCAACAGCGTTTTACAGCTGGGTGCCATTAATTGGCTAAGTAGGCCATGAGCGCTGGTTATGCATTGTCATTCCACGCTGACCTCTCAGCGAGGGCGAGTCGAGTTTGACTGGAAGTGGCCCGTTCCTCGGCCACCGTTCTCTGAGCTGCAGTACCCGGATCGGCGCCACCGCCTGCAGTCATGGGACAGGAGTGTAGCCTGTCTGTAGTCCCGCCGTTGGCTGTCTGCGGGGGGGGGGGGGGTGACAGACCCGCCTCGGCACGGGGACAGACGCCGGGCTGCCGCGTTACAAAGCCCGTCTGTCAGAGGCTGCGCACTAGAATGTGATGCCGCCGGCTCAGCTGCCAGGGACGGCGGACGACGCAGGTCACCGGGCGCGAGCTGCGCTGGGGAACGCTCCCGTCATTCGTCCACTCCCTGCGATAACTGAGTCGGCTCTCGACACGGTTAGGTCACGCTTAACCCGCGCCCCACTGGGGGGGGGGCTATTTATAGCCCCCCCCTCCCGTTTTTCTGCAATAACTTCCAAACCGCTTGACAGATCGACGCCAAACTTACAGTACCTTTGGCTGCATCAATTTGACACCTTGTGTCAAAATTTGAACTTCGTACCTACCATAGGTCGGCCGGAAATGACGTCAGAGTGACGTCATGTTCGGCCGATTTCGACGCAAAACATTGAACCACGGCAATCGCTCCCAAGAGCTCAGTTTTTAAGCTAGATCCAATTTCTTTGCATGAAAGGACTCAGAATTGACCGCGCTATCAAACTGCTATCTCGAATTTTCAAAATTTTGAAAATTTCGAAAATTTGATATAATAATATTCAAAATATGTATTTTTATTTTTTTTTTCAAAATGTTTTTAACTTTTCGAAAAAAAAAAACGGAATATATGTGACAGAACGCTTGATTATGACTAACTCTAGCAAGTTTTAGCTAAATATCTTCACAAATGGCCAAGTTATACGCATTATTGCAAAAAATTCACAATTATTAATTTTTCAAATCAAATTTTCAGTACGTATTTGACATCGTACACCAATATAAATGGCACCATCGTGTTCCTGAGCTCAAACTGCATCCAATAGACACCTTTTTTGTTGAAAAATTTTAACTTCAAAATTTGACCTTTTTTGACCTGAAAGTGACCTGACCTAAGCTAAATTCGACTCAAAATGACCTCGAATGACACAGACGACATCAAATTCGAAATCTATGGCCTAAATGGACCATAAAACATGTGTCACGTGACCGACGCATGATAAAATATTTTCGTGACCTGTGATGACCTGACCTTGACCTGAAAATCAAAGTAAAAGCTTGGTACCCTCAGGGTATCTAGAGCATCTGTTTAAGAGTGTGTGTACAAAAAATGAGCCTGATCTGACTTGTAAGACGGCGGCCAGAGCCCAAAATGTGAACAAGCCAAAATGCTAATAATTTTTACTTTGACCTGACCTGTGACGTCATCGGTGACGTCGAGATCAATGAAATTAGGTTTCGCTCGACAGTTTTTCCGGGGCTATCAGACGCCGTTTAAATTTTGACGATCGGCCCAGTAGTTTCGGAGTTAGGAGGGGGGGGGGCTATGAATAGCCCCCCCCCCCCCAGTAGGGCGTGTTATACACAGACCCCAGTGGGGCGCGGGTTAATAGGAGCAGCAAACCAACCCTTATCTCACTTACATCCTAGAACCTGTCACTCAGACTGACCGTCCGGTCAAAGTCCTATTGTCCAACCGTGATGGATCTCTCCGTTCCGAGGGTACCGCGTCTCCTTATCTATATTATGAATTATTGATAGGTGGGCCCTATTACTGATTAGGGTGTCTCATACCGTACGCTCCCCAGATCTGTTGTCCAGTATTGGCTGTTAATGGCCGTCTGCACCCAAATCGCGTTATCGTTCATATCATGATCGATAACAAGACTTAGGCCGACGACGAATGTGTCTATAGGACGGTATTTTTGGATTGAAGTTGCTATTGGGGAGGGTGGGAGGGGGTCGTTTTCCACAGCCTGTCGCTTCGTTTCCACCCTTCGGCACTGTCCGCCGCCTCTGAGCGCGCGCCTTGGACTGCCCGACCTGTTTTGCGGCCTGTGTACTGTGCGTGTCTTATCTCGCCTCGGCCGAAGCCCGGTCCCCTCCCCCTGGACCCGGGTCGTCAACAGGGTTGTATACCAATCAAGTCGATTGAATTGATTGATTTGATTCAACGCGTATTTTGAGTTGATTGGATTGAGTCGATTGACTTCTCGAGATGACTGGTTGACTGACTCGTTTGACTTTAGCGACTGGTTGACTGATTTGATTCCCGAAATTTAGAGTGACTCGTATGATTGAGTCGATTGAATGGAAAGTTGAAATAAGTTTTAGTTGACGAAAAATAAGGACACCAATTGATGACATCAAAGATCACAAAACTACACTGAAAACTGCTTGTCATCACAACTGCAATATGGGGTAGATGGCCAAATAAAGAACAGGGCCTAAACATGAACAGCCAACTTGACTTTGACTTTCAACTGCAATAACTGCTCCAATCCTGTGATAGAACCTGGCGATGCACCTACCTACCTTTCTGCACTCAGCAGGAAACTTTTTTTTAATCCAGATGATAAAGTGCAAGGCCCTATATACTAATAAAGTGTGATTAATTACTAATTCACATCTCCACATCTCCTCAGAAACAACCCACTGAACTCTATAAATATCTGAAACCCCTACAAAAATAACTGAAACAAAAGCGCCGTTTTCGTCTCGCTAATTACGTTTACATTAATAGCTAATTTGCTGCATTGTTTAATTTGCAGCAGAACGTTTGTTGATCCTTTTCTCCTGAGAGCCTAGGCATAACATATTTAATATATTTCATTTTCCTTAAAATATTTTACCGAATATTATTCAGTGGTTTTATTTCAAATGAAATAATAATTAAAACGAAATTGGTGTTGTACAACCGATTTATTTTATGATGATCTACCATACTACATGATAATCAATGACGTCATCTTACCAAAAAATCAAAAGACGTAGAATAAGGATTTATAAAAGCTTAGCATACTTCTTGGCAAAACGTTTTCTTTGTTTTTTCGCAGTCGCACCAACTGCAACGGCATTTAATTTTCCTTGTTCTTCTTCCTTTGTCCTTAACTTATCCTGTGGTTCCAAAGTCCCTGTCCTTTCAATTTCCTTTTAAATATATTTTTAATGCTCATCCCTATCCCCCAGTCCTAACAGTTTCAAATTGTATTGCAATAAAATGTTTTGAATTCTTCACATATAACCTATCTACCTTCGTTGGTACTGTTGGTAGCCAGTGACACATCTAGGCAGGTAAGTAGGTACCTACCTGCTTTCCTGCTGTCTTCATAAAGCATACCTAATGAAGTTGTCAAATTTATAGCACATTTTCAACACTTTCATATCAATATGGTGTCAGTGTGGCATGTAACCTAGCTAGGTTCATTATGTTCAGGGTTCAATTCAGAAGAGCTCCGCATAACTCACATAAGAGACAGACGGGGGCTTTACATGGGGTAGATGGCCTGATGACTTAGCTGGAATATGGCCAAAATTAAATTGACAACTTTTAAGTGAAAGGTGGTGATTTGGGTTAAGGGGTGTTTGTTGAAGTCAACTACTGGGTTATTTTGCACCCATTAAATGAAACTTCTGCTCCAATTCTACCCATTGAACCTCAATATCATGATCCACCTGTCCATCACTAGGTATCCTTCCTTATTACATAGAAACTTTGAATGGCATGGCAATTTATAATTTTAAATGACAATATTTTTGTTTCTTCTGTAGGTAGGTAGGTAGATAGGTACACCAGACTGCTATGGACACTTTTCCAAGTTGGTGGGGCAAAAAACCTAATGTATATCTTGGTTTGAGTCGTTTGATTGAGTTGATTGATTCCTTTCATTGTCGCGTTTGAGTCGATTGAATCAATTCCCGAAAACTGCTCTGACTTGATTGATTTGATTGGTTTCCCAAATTTGTCGTGATTGAATTGATTGCTATTGATTGAGTCGTATACAACCCTGGTCGTCAACCGCGCCACGACTCGGGTCTCCTCCCACCCCTCTGCCCCTCCCTCCCTCCCTCCTCGTGCTGGCCATCCTCCGCTCCCTCTATTCGAGCCCCAAATCAAGCTAATAGGTGGGCCCTATTACTGATTAGGGTGTCTCATACCGTACGCTCCCCAGATCTGTTGTCCAGTATTGGCTGTTAATGGCCGTCTTTTTTTGCCGTTTCATCCCTCCCTCGCCACCCGGCGTTGCCCTTCTGTAGCGAGTCGATTGATTATGCAACTGTCTCTGTCGGCCTAGTGCGGACAGGCACTCTGTGTCATCACATGAGACTTGAAACTGAAAATAAACCTGTCTGACCTGAGATCCTATTGTCTGACCTGTGATCCCGCTATCTGACCATTGTCTGACCGCTGTCTGACCGGTATCTGACCACTGTCTGACCCGCGTTTCCAGGCACCACGACGGCCAGCCGCTGGTGGAGGACGACCACTACCACATCCGCCGTGTGGCCGAGGGCACGCAGCTCTCGGTGGCGCACACAGCGCCCGGTGACGCCGGCAGCTATACGGTGACGGCGCGCAACTCGGCCGGCCGCTCGGCCGCCCAGCTGCGCCTCGAGCTGCGGCCCGCCCGGCCCGCCGCCGCCGGAGACGACGCGCCGCCGCCCGCCGACAGCGACGCGCCGCCCGTCGACAGCGACGACTACACGCCGTTCGTGCGCCGCGGCCGGCCCGGCAGGACCGACAGACCGGCACGGCCCGAGAGGAGGCAGGCGGCGGTACCGGCGGCGGTCGAGCGGCCCGGAGAGGACGGGGGACAGCAGCAGGTGAGAGGACGGACACCAGGGGACGCATACAGGGAGGACGGACACAGGTGACGGGCGCTGGGGACAGATGGGACGGACAGGTACAGGAGGACGGGGACGGCCACATAATTAGGACTTACAGAGAGCATTTATACCACAGAGAACCATTTTTACCTATATCATGCTTAACAAGAGTCATTAAGCAACTATGACCTTGTTTTTCAAACCTTTCCCTGGACATTGCTTATACGACATGAAAGCATTTAGCGTAACGAGCCTTTTCTTATGTTTGATAGTCGCTTTCATCTTAATAGCCTTATAATAGCTTCTGGAATGTGGGAATGATTTGACGTCATATAATTATAGATTTTGGACGCCTACCAGCCGCGGTTACGCCGCTGGTCCTACAGCTAATTTGGCAGCTCCAAAAATGCCGTTACACCACTATAGTTTACTGGTGCCCTGGCAGTTTGCCCAGCGTGTCACTACGCTGTGGTCCAAACACCAGCCTGTGCCAGCCCCGCACGGCTTTTCACATAAGTATGGCCGATCTTGACCGAACACTTGACGATTTTGAGGATGCGTAAAGCATTTGCCTTTTACCATGATCCGTCCGTCAAAGTTACTCCTGTTCGCCGTCAAGCTGTCCCGACCTTTTAATGAGACCGGCAGGAAGGTATGGTTAAGAGTCTGGGCATCATAGGCTATTGAATGCCCTGAGTGATGGTCGGGTTGACGGGACTTTATCTATTAGATCATCATATAATGACTATAATCATATAAGAGCCAATGCGCTCATCACATTGCTTCCAGGATAATCGCTTTCATAATTCCCTGACATAAATGAAAACATGGGCGCTCGAACTGAATGCCCAAGACCAACTTTGCATCACGTCCAGCCCAGACCATTTGACGGTCAGTCATTGTCTCCGTGTATTTGCTCTGCTGAGCCCGGCCGGTTCATTGAGGGGGCTGCCAGGGGCGGACCGGCCGACCCCCCCCCCCCCTCCCTCCCTCCCCGGCCGAGGGGACGGCCTTGTGTCGACTCCAGCACCGGCTGCCAACCGCCGCCGGCGACGGGCGCCGACGGCCGCCGGCGCACCAGTGCCCTTCCAGGTGTCTCCCGGTCGCGACACCGGCCTCCGCGCGGCGCCGTCAGTGTCTGACCGGCGCTCCAGCGGTCTGCCGGCAGTGAACGGGGTGTGACAGTGGGTGTTCAGTGCGCGATCAGGGCATACGCTATGGGAAAATACTCGCTGGGCTAGTGCTGTGTGTTTTCAGTGTAAATACGATACTGTGCGGGGAACAGAACGTTCGCTAGGTGGGGTTGTTTTTAGTGACTGCGCTGCGGCGCCGCGCCGCATTGTGTCGCGTTGAGAAGCGTCGTGTCGCGTTGTGCCGCGTTGTGTCGCGTTGTGTCGCGTTGTGTCGCTTTGTGTCGCGCCACTGAGTTGGAACGCTGTGGATGCTGGACGCCGTTTGGCGGCTGGCCTATCTCTCCCTGGGCTGGACGCTGGTGGCCGCGGCCGACCGTCCCGTCACCGCCACGGAGCTGCCAGAGGTAACGCCGGCTGTCGCCCACGCGTCCCAGCGGCGGCCCGCGGCGGCCCAGGGACGCACAGCGGCGCCCCGCGGCAGCCCAGCACCGCACAGCGCGCCACAGAGTCGCCTCAGCCGCGGAGGGTCGGGCAACATTCAGAGCAGGGATCACTTATATAACCTCACGGTCAAACGGTGTGGCTGCAAGATGCATGTTGACTTAGAGTCATATGTCTTCCATATCAGCCGTGACTCGGAACCCACACGTGTAGCGTGACTAAGGGGATCGAGTCCCGGACTGCCGTGTTGCTTCTGACCGCCCCCGATCATCTTTGTGACCAGCCGTGTGATCAATTGAGCCTTTAGCTAGCGAAGAGCCGAAGACTCGTCTTCTGACTCCCGTTGAACGCATTATGTAACCGCTGCTCAGTCAGCTACCCCCCTCTCATTCGATTCTACTGTATCGTGTGACCGCTGTTTACCGACACCCAGCTCCCTTTGTGAGCTCTGTGTTGCTAATGGTGACGACCTCTGTGCTCGACAGGGGACCCGCGGCCATGAGGTACCGGCCCCGGCTGCCCCGGCAGCGCCGGCGGCCGCGGCGGCCGGCTCGGCCCGTCCCGGGGACACGGCCACCCCAGAGGAGGCCGGTCAGGCTCAGTGGCGACCCGTGCCGATAGCCCGCCGGCACGCCACGCCCACTGGAGCTGCCCCGCCCACTGGAGCTGCCCCGCCCACTGCCGTCGCCCCGCCCACCGGGCCAGGGCCCTCCCCAGCAACAGGTGGGTGCAGCGAGGCGAGCCAGGGATGGAGGGAGGGGAGGAGGCAGATGAACGCAGCGGGTGGTGGCAACCAGTTGTGGGAATGTAACGCATAGACAGTAGACACTCAGCCTACATGACTGAAAGTGAGACTATAGACATAGCGTAAAGCTATGGCTCGTATGTAGACTGTAAAACACGGGCGGATCACTGTTTCCCGTTGTCATGATGTTACCAACAAAGATGTGAAATTAAATGTGAAAGCTGTGGTCAACAGTCAATATTATAACACGCACAGCGGCTGTGTGTGTTTACGAGCGAGCGAGCGCAGCGAGCGAAGTGAGTCTTTTCAATATAACGGAAAAATCTCAGTATGAGCGGCCCGGCCCGGCCTGTAACGCTTTTAAGAGGCTTATATCTCAGCAACCGCTGGACCGATTGGCCTGCGGTCTTTTTTGTTGGGTAGCCCCATCCCTTCTACCCCGTAATTGACTACTTTTGATACATCTCAGTGACCGTCGTGGCACGTGCCACGTGAGAAGTCAAGGGTGTTCAAGCTGTTTTTGCAAAAGTAGTGATTTTGAGAGGCTCATATCTCAGCAGCCGCTTGGGCGATTGACTTGCGGTAATTTTTGTAGGGTAGCTGCATCCCTTCTACCCAAAATAGGATACTCTCGATGCATGTGGGTCACCCCCAGTGCACATGCAAAATACAACAATAAGAGGTGCCAAATTTGTTCCCATTTCAGTAACTCGGTAACTACTGGGGCGATTTCGCCGAAACTTGGCAATTCATAGGCGGCGGAACGGGGAGGGCACCGGGGCACCGTGCCCCCCTTTGATTTTGGCATTTTAACATTAGCCCTATGGGCGTTGCATGGAAAGAATGGGACCAAAAGTCGGCAGTGCCCCCCTTAATTGAGGGTGTTCCGCCGCTACTGCTTGGCATACAGGTAGGCACCCACCAGGCAATGCATTCCCATGTGTTGCGGTTAGGGTGCTACTGCACGTGCGCACGTGCAGGGGGCGTTTCCAGATCTCGAGAACGGCTGGGCCGATTGCGCTCAAATTTGGTACACGGTTGGGGACCAGTTAGTAGGGTGCCGTGCAAAAGTCATTTTGGACCCCGTTTGCACGTGCGCACGTGCAGAATGCCGCTTCCAGATCTCAGGAACGGCTGGGCCAATTGCGTTCAAATTTGGCACACCGATAGCGACCGGTTAGAAGGGTGCTTTGCGCAAGTCCGTTGGAAGCAAGCACCCTCTCGCCCTTCCGCACGTGCAGGGCTCACTATATCGCTCGCTCGTTCTTCGCCCAAAAGGCGTTTTACTGGTATATAATATTGACTGTTGACCACAGCTTTCACATTTAATTTCATATCCTTGTTAGTACCTAACACCATGACAACGGAAAACAGTGATCCGCCCGTGTTTTATTCCCTTTCCAACTTTCTTCTAAGCGACAACAAATTTAGCGACATTTATTAGCAACTTGGAGCCGGGAGAGGGCCTTGTAATTAAATGAGCACTGTAAGGGGTAGGGGCAATAAGGAAACAATATTGCCTTCTGTGACGCTTCAGTATTTATCCGGTGAAGACCTCAACAAGCATTTTTGCCATCGGCTACGCCTCGCACAACAAAGCATGTTTCGGTCTTCACCCTTGGGCTACAGTGACGTCACATCGGGCAATAATTTTTACTCTTGCCCGCTGCCCCATACAGTATTCATAGAAAGACTACCTTCTCGTAACATCATCCACCTTCACAGTTCACATCCCCCAGTGCACTCTGCGCTGCGCCGCGCTGTATAGGCCCTGGCTGTGTAGACTGTGCCGCTGTACTCCTGGGTCGTGTGGCACAGCCTACCCGACAGTGGTCTGTCGGCGCCGGTCGGGCCGCCGCGCCGCGCCGTCCCAGACGTAACCTGAGCCGCGTGGGCCCCAACCAACGTCCCGCCCCTGCGGAGTGCGGCCACCATAAAACTTGCGCGTTTACATCATTTGTTTATACGACCCATATGCGCCGTCAGGAGTCCGCGATGTGGGCTTTGGTTACGGAAGAGCCTTTGGTTACGGAAGAACAACTATTTCTGAGCTGTGGCGCTGGCCGGCGGTGCGTGGGGCTGTTTATTGGAGGCCCGCCAGTGCGGCGGACGTAGGGCGCACGGAGACGAGGTCGTGCAGAGTGTTGGGCCACCGCGGCATGTTATGTCATGGGTGCTCCCCGTAGTCTTGTTCGATGGATGAAAACGTCAGTGTTAAAACTTCAGCGGGTGTCGTAGAAAAGAGCCTGATGTTTCAGAACAATACAAACTTCAAGGAAAATAATCGTATTGCGTGAATGACATC